AAGGCATCAAAGTGCCATCCTCTCTCCCGATTAAGTGACTGAATGGTTGCGTCTGGGGTAATGGGCTAGTTGCATAGATTGCTCACTGCATACCACATATCAGCTGGTCTGTGAAAACTGCCAGCACAGTATACTATGCTTAGATTTATCAAGAGTAATTGCTGAGTTGCAGAGCCTGCACATTGCACCAAAGTGTATCACTGACCTCTCACTGCCTGGGGACACAGCTTCGAACTGAGATCTGCTCCTCCAGTTAAACAGGTAGGTAGGCAGACAGGTAGATAGCTTGGGAGGTAGTGGATATGGGATGAGAGCGATGAAGTGTTGCACAAAAAGGTGAAGGAGGTAGGGAGTCCTGTATTAGAGAGGTCAAGGTAGGAGAAGGCACAGAGAGAGTGTTTAGGAAGGTGGCACAGCTGCCAGGGAACAATGCCAAAGATCAAGATTTAGACAGACATAGGAAGAACAGAGACGGGCCCTGCCTCTTACAGATCTTGCTCAGGGCTCTGCTTTACTTAAGGCTGGCTCTGGGACAGGTGTTTGGTGCCTAGTTTGTTGGACGGAGGAGTGCAGAGTAAGTTTGCAAGATTTTGGTCACTCAGTGGGTTTTGCAAGCCATTTCCACAGTATGGGATTACTGTTCAGAAATAAAAAATCCTGCCTTCCCCTTTTGAGATTAAATTAGAACTCAATTTTTGGGCCTTGCTGTAGACATACACTAGTATTTCTATAATGTGGATATTTTCTTCCTTTTTCAGCAAATAGTATTCCAGGAGAAAGACGGGTTAAAAAAATCAGTAGAATCAAACTTAATAGCTGCTAGGTACAGTTCAGTGAATAAATGTCTCTGATAAATTGCTTTTGGAAGTGTATTAATAGCCTACAAAAAATACAGGGAGGATATAACTGTATGGGTGTTTTCTATGATAAAGAAACAATTCCATGTTAACCACCACTAAACCTGTATGCAAAAAGGAGGAATTTGGTTTCTGTTAACATGCTGGGTCATGGTGGAGTGGCAAAAGGGCTCATACTATTACGACTGCAAGGGGTAAGGTGACCTACTCTGCATGGTAGCTACAGATATTTAAGGGTTTCATGGTGTTGCATAATGTCTGTGTTCCATAATCCAGCAGTTCAGTGCAAGTTCAGTTCTGATGTCTTTTGCCTGTCACCCTGAAACATCAGTACAATGAGTCTGACATATTCGCATCTATCAATCACTGCTACGAGCTGTCATTACAGCATTTATAAGTTCATCATCATTTTTTGTCTATCTTTGTAGAAATAAATCTTGAAATGGAAAAAATTACCAAAACTTTGTATAGTATTCTGATGATAAAATTAGAAAAAAGGCATATTCTGGCAATATAACTAGAAACAAGTCAACATTTAATTTAAATAAAAAACTTTATTAACAATGTAAAATGTTTACTATCTTACATTCTGAGCTAATTCTGGCATGCCCTATAAGAGTTAATAGTTAGTGATATGCAGACACCATGCTTTAAAATCTATTGGAAACAAAATGGGTTAGTGTTGTGTTGTACATTGGAGGGTAACTGTTTATTTTACTACACCTGCTTTTAATACAGTACTTACTTTTTTCCAAAAGATTGGAGAGATACCATTGGCTTAAAAGGAAATTTATTATTTCTATGCATTGTACAGTATGTCGATATTGTGATTTCTCTGTATTTACAAGATCTAAATATCTTATATGGTTTGTGTATCATAAATTAAGATATTTTCCTATGAGCTTTTAGACTGAGATAGAGTGGAAGACTAAATATGAATGAGAGCACAAAAAGCAACTGTAGATTTTGTGCAAATTCTGTTACAATATTGTCTAAATGTTTTAGAGCTTCAATACTTTTGCTGTTAAATAGCTTTCTATGCTTAAAGATTTAAGACTGTTAGAATATGATCAAGTATTTTAATGTGATACTAATAAGAGTACTGTACTATGCACAAACTTTCAGCTGTAGTTCAAACAATAAAAACTTTAAAACAATCTACTAACCATAATTCATGTGTCTTTCTCTGAGTCGTTTAAGCATGCAAAACATATTTGAAAAAGTTTTAGAAACATTCTTAGTTAGGCTAGATCTGTTCCACAACTGGCTCTTGAACACCATAGCTTTAAATTGTTAAAACTCTTCATTTTGAAAAGGGGGATGGAGCAGAAGAGAAAAAGGAATACGCTAGTGTAGAAAATATACTTTATAATCAAGAGTAGTAATGTTCATCTTTGCAGTGCTCAAATGGTAGTGGTTTCGGTGGTTTAATCAAAGTTATGATTTTCTTGTCATTTCTGTACTTAATCTTCTAACTTGAGACAAGACAACACAGTCCAAAGAATCTCCGCTTCCGTCTTCTTACTAATGGGTAAGGAGTCAAGTTTAGGAGGCTGCTATCATCTGTGATGAAAAAAAAACCACATTTGAATACAATTACATACACACACAGACGCATACACAAGAGTTTGTATCTTTGCGTGTCCTCACAGCACCTACAGGATCAAGTAGTAGACCCCATTGTTCTGGGCACATAGCAAATAATAAGCTGATTTTTCTATATTAGAATAGGGGTCTTAAAATGCCAGCTGTCAGGACTCCATGAAAATACGATAGAAATTTTGGCTTGAGGAATACCAGTTCAATGACGAAACCTTAATGAAATTACACCACCAGTGCTAGGAGACCTAAGCCAAAATATTCCTGCTTGATGAATAATGTTAGGCAACAACTAAAACCAAAAGCAAAATAGTTTTGAGATCTTAACTGAAGACATGCAAATTTGACAACTGAAGCTTAAGTTCTGGCTGGCTTTAAAGATGAAAAAGATTACTGAGTGCCATTTGTGCACATCAGTGAGAATTTCAATTAAAAACTCCAAGATCAGAACATCTTGGCACATGAAGATTAAAAGTACTTGCCTTGGAAAGTTAGCACATACTGCTGTCCCTGCTTCTGGTTAGCTTTCTACCTTGTATATTAACTCCTTTTAAATTCATACAAAATACGTATATTAGTGCATACAATTATGTTAGTTTGTGCCCTGTCAGCAAACTGTTTCAAAAATTCATGTAGAATTTACTTTGAATTTGAGCCATCTTCAAGCAAGGTTTCAGGCTAAGAACTATACCTCATTATGTTCCTGTTTGTGCTACATCGGGGACCTAGTTTTGACTGGAGGCTCTAGACACTAGTGTAATACAAATACCTAAATACAAAAACTTAGGTAAAACAACATTTAATAGTATGACCCTTGAGTTCACATCAACTAAACTTCTTAGCATAGTAACTTTCCTGTTGCTGCTTAAATTATGAAAGAGAATTCTATGCAAAAAACACTACTTCAAGCAGTCTGTGAGTAGTCAGTAACATTATGTGAAGTTTGTTTTGCTTGCAACCATAAGTCCTTTCTGGTTCTCACTGAAATCGATGGCAAAACACTTGCTAATTTAATTGAAAGCAGGATCAGGTCTTGTAAAGATCAACTCATTCAACAGCCATGAGATTCAGTCATCTCATAATCATTCTTCTAAGCCATGCTTGTAATTCATACATATGTACAAATTAGAGTCCAGACCACATTAATTACCTATAATGTCTGTATGTTCTATTTTCTTATACTTTCCTCTAGCTTTAATTAATTAAAGGTCTTGAAATATTTTGTAGCTTTTAACTACTGTGTCAACAGTAGGTATGACTGTCCATTCCTGAAGCATCCGTTCTCAAAGATCAGCTGTAAACTGTGATCACAGTTGGACTCTGTGGGAGCAGCAAAAGTACCATTTGTGATTCTCTGATCCTGGAGTGTGTTGTAGAGCTTTAAACTATCTGGCTGACATGTCTCCCAGCCTGCTGCACAGATGATCAGTGATTTTCAGGCCATTGTTGAAGGGCTGCATGGACGCCAGTCTGCTGGGAAGAGTTCTGTATGCCTTTCCCTCTGCTCTGAATTAAAGTTTCTATATGTTTTATACTTCCCCCAAATTTGCCTTTTTCCTCTTTTATTTCCACCATGCTTCTTTTTTTCTAGGCTAGGCATAGACTTTATGGCATTTTTCCATTCTTTTACAATGGCACTTTTGCATCATCATATCTTAAGTGTGATTCCTTTTCTCCTTCCAAATAACTTCCACTCAATCTGTCCCTGCCATAAACTCTTACTTGTATAATGAATTTACCCATTCTATCTTCATCTTTTACTATATTAATGTTAGACTGCTTAGTTCCTCAGGACAAGATCCAGGACACATAAGGCATACTTCATCAGCTACCAGCATGTAAAGGGTATGCAGCACTAAAGAAATACGTATTATCAAGAAGAAATCAATAAGGAAAATGTTTATTTTTTAATGTTGTTCACATGAAGAAAGAAAGTGCCTGTACATGTGGAATATATGAGACTGCTGGGCCACAAAATGAAGGCCCATTCCTAAATAAATTCTTTAGGATGGATAGCCCCCTGTGCCTTTGTATAGGGTGCCTCATAGCTGGCTACTAGGAAAAGCAAGCTGTTACCAGCCTCAGGGCAGGTATCTCTGCATCGGGTCAGTGTCTTGTTATCCTTGAGTCATAATACAGATGCTACAACCCTCGCAGGCCTAAAGCAAACCCCATCACTTAGCATGACCCCTATCATAGTCTGCGCAACTTATGCCTTCATTACACTTGAAAAAAATGCCTCCTGAGATAGGGAATTAGTTGTGCTGCTGCCTCATGTCCCCAGGAGAAGTCTATTATTTTATCTGTAGATACCCTACCTACAAACTTTCAAAACTCAGTACTTTGAAGTATAGTGTTCTCAAGTGAAACTCAAGAGGACAAAGGTCACATATTAAATTCTGGCACCACTGATTCAGTAGGGAAAGGATTTCACCTGGATTTTTCTTTCTGTAACTTCTACAGAAAAAAATAGATTTTTCATATCTAATGGAAGCCAAAATCTTTAATGATCTTGATTTATCTTACATGAAGAAAATAGAAAACCTACCTTGATTTTTCAGTGGTAAAGGCATAGTCTCCCTGAGTTTGCTTAAAAGGTTTTTCATTTCTCTCATATCTCTGCAGAAACAAATTTAAAAGAAATACAATAGAACAGCAGTTGAAGACTCACAATAGGGAATAGTTCACAGTATCATTTTATATGCTGAACTAATGGAATAAAAACTCAAACTAAATAATATAAAAACCTATTAGGCAAGCACTTGGTTCAAATGTATCAGGAGATGCATACCAAAATAAAGGGCAGTAGATTTAATAAGGGAAGAATTTTAAGCCAACCTGACTGTAACTGGTAGCTTTCTGGTCCACATTTATTATCTTTTCTGGATCTCGAGTATTCCATGTTAAATGAGTTCGTGGGCACCAATGTGATCTTAGTGGCAAAACATACAATATGCGTTACAACTAGCACTGGCCGGTACTAATGCTGATATAATATCCCAGTATCAGCATTCTGTAGCTTGTACCATGAATGTGGTCAGTGTTTCAAAAGTAAAAAATTAACTATACTTGTAGTTAATCCATGACACTTAAGCTCCCTATGGATTAAGAGAAAATTTTAGATGTCAGGGATGTCATTCTGGCCCCTTTTAGGAGGACTTTGGTATGAAATTTGCTAAAATTTTAAAAGGCAGAGGATGGAAAATACCATAACAAAATACCATCTCACAAAGCAAGTTACACATGGCAAGTTACATATGTTTTGAAAGAGGCTAGAAGTTGTAAAAAGGTTCCTGTTTTACAGATAGGTGGCAGATCAGCAATTTTGTGTGCGGGCTTGTGATGCCTTAAGGCTTTCAGGATTTAAAGATAATGTGGTCCTGCCTCATTCATCTACATATGATATGGTTCTTAGAAATGAAGCGGCATGACTGTATTATTGCTCAGTTCTATTCTCTGAGTTACCCTCTCAGTAGAACAGAACTTTATTTTATATAAGTACGGTAACCATTTATATAACATGGTAACCATTAAGAGCTCAGCAGCAGCTTATACAAAGCCACGAACACAGATCCTTTTTACAAAGAAAGGAAATGTTGGCCATCAGGATTGCTCCCTACCAAAGGGTCTTAGTTTTGTCTTTCACCCGGACAGTCAGGAGAATGAAAGTCCACTTTGATATACCTTTGGATGATTTTCCCCTCCCCTCCTGAGCCTTTCACATTTTTAACTATGGGCAGAAACAACTGATATGAACTAGATTCTGTGCCTTTGGTTTATGAATGCAAAACTGCAGGGCAGCATATTTAGGTACAAAACCAGAAACCTGTAAAGATGAGACAAAAACTCTCTCTGTTTTAGCACCATAATTTTCTACCCTTTCTTTTTGGCAGTAGTTCCCTCTGGCAATTAACCAAAGTACGAATGTCACTTCTCTTTGTCCTTCTCACAGGTATTGCGTCCAGGTATGTTAAACACAACAAAAATGTTAAACAGGCTATAATTTACAAACACTTAAAATAACAACACTAGCTGCCTAATTGGAATAGACTGAATAAACTCTAGACAGAAATTTGTTTCATTTAGGAATAAAGTGCTACAGATACCTTTCAGTGTTCTCAATATCTGTGGAAACCTGCCATAAATGCTGTTGAATATCTGTTGGGGATGATGACGTGTCTTCTAAAATAGGTACTTCAGAACTCTCCTCCACTTTAGTGTCTAGGATCTTGTGCGGGGCACAAGGCTCTTTTCCTTTAAAATATTAAAACAAAACATATATCCCTATTATTTATTTATTAAAAGGTATACTCAGATTATATCATTGATGTTTTGGGCTTCATCTTGCACAGCATACATGAAGAGAGAGTTGTGTATGCAAACTCCAAGTAAGAACAGTTCAGAAAGAGAGTGGACCACACCAGTCTGCTCATCAGAGCGCTGCTGTATGGTCCATGCTACTTCTGCCAAACAGGACCAAGAGGAAGCCCAACAGGCAAGTGTGGAGCTTAGGATTTTGCTTAGTAAGTATTATAAAGAGTTTCACTTAAACTCAAATAGCTCACATGTGACACAGAATAAGAACCAGAGGAGAAAAGAGAACTAATCGGGAACTAGAGTATATATTCTGAAAGCAACATCAAAAGCTACATCGTAATCCGTGTCTTTCAATAGTACTCACTCTAGTACTATGGGAAAATAAAAGACAAAAATGTGCAGTTTTGTACTTGATGAGATTGATAGCAATACCTAGCTGCCACCACTCACAACCCAATATGTTGCATATTCCACACTTGCATACTTATACCTTCCTAATTCATACTTACTATATAGAAATAAAGGCAATGTTGGAACTGTCTGGGGACTTCACACCAGATCTGCCAGAGCTTTTGCCAGGGAGAGAATGAGGTGTAGGAAGTGGACCATGATAGTGGAGAACGCAAGAGAGTTAAATATTGGAGATTAGTTAGTATCCTTGCAAATTTCCCATGGATAGCCTATTGCTATTCTTTGTCTGTAGTGGCAAGTACAGCCCTGGCACTAAAGATTGGATGTGAAAGATTTTTTGTGTGTGCCTCATTTAAACGAAAAATTTCAAAGTGGATCACTTACTGAGAGGTTAGTTTTTTCTCTTCTTTCAATAACATAGCTTACACAATCTCATAAAGAAACACATAAACCTTGTAAAAATAGAGAAAATAATGTTGAAACCAGTAGTACTGAGGAGTTGAGTAGGAAAAGTTTTGTCATTTCACAGTTTTTGCAATTTCAGAAATTATCACATCAGGACAAACCTCAGCACTTCCTGGAAGGTTTGAAAAGAACAGGAAGGACAGAGTCTAGTGATTATCCCATTCTTCTGGGGCATTAGAGACTAAGACCATGCTATACTACTCTCCCACATCACAGGTTAGTACCCGAGCTATCACGCTATTAACTTTCTCTCGTTTTTCTGGATCTGAAGAAACTGTTTAAGCAGGTTCTTTGAACTGTTATATTTTGATCAAGTATTTCTTTGCTGAAAAACTCTCAGCTACTCATTGTCTGAATGTCCAACGAGACACTCCTTATACTATAAGAGATATTTGCCTAATGTTTTCATCATCCTTTAAAGTCAGTACAATGTCCTTTCCCCTGCATTATACATCCTCACCAAAAGTCATCTAACTGTATGATCCCAAGAGATGACCTGACATAACAGTTTATCATCTAAAAGTAGTGTCCTTCGTCCTTTCTCTGCTGCTTAGTTTGGCACCTGCTTCTAACTTTGGCTTTGTCAGATCCCTCTGTGAGCCAGCTGAACCCATCAAATGGTAGACGATTACCTCCACAAAAAGAAAAAGCAAAGGTGAAAAGTTTTCTGTTGTTTCAGTGAGTTAAATCGAGTCAGTAAAGAACCAAGCATGCTCCAGAGCAAGTGCCGGAGGATGGGGGTGATGATATAGCCAGAAGCAGTGGAAGGGAGGAAGAAGTGAAGCAAGATGAGAGTGGAAATACAGAGAAAGAGATCAAGACATTTTTGGTGGCAACAAAAAGCTCTTATGTTGACTCAGTTGCTTGTGGAACAGCAGCCTAAGTCCATTTCCCAGATTGTATTTTTTATTGTGTATCTATCACTTTTTAGGTATAACTTTCAAATTATTTCTAGTTGGCAACTGCAGCTTATGCTGTTATTTTAAGGTAGATCTTAATGTACAGTTTTAATTGTTCATTTATGTAAGCTTCATTATTGATTACTTTTCCCAGTATAAGAAGCCCATAGCACAATATACTGTTACCAATATCTCACTTACCACGCTTTTCTGTAAAAGAGGGTTGCCCCAGGAAAACTATCTAATTTGTCATTCATGTCGCAGAAATACAAGGTGGTGTTGCTCGAACTGGGTGTTTGTTAGTTCTGCCATTATTTTGAAGTATTATGTTGAAAGTGACCTGACCTTTGGTGACATGCTGTCAAGAACAACCCTGTCTATAGATGCATCCTTCAGGTGTTTCAGTAGAAACAATAACAATTCTTTTTCCCAACTGGAGAAGTATAGAGACTGCATTGTTCTTTTTGTTAGTGCAAAAGAAAGCTCTTGAAAAATTAGCAGAACAAGCAAGAGGCACAGATTTCTTTTCAAATGCAAAGAGCTCTTTTCCAGAAATTTTGTTGTATTGTGAACAGTTCATGAAGCCTTCCTTGAATTTCACAGCATCTGCTCAATCACGTGAAAATAGTTAAGAGTCAGCTAATAATAAAGGCTTTGCTTGAATAATGTCTATGAGTTCGGCTTAACATTTCCTACTCTATGCCACCCACTGTAGGGAA